TGCCGGGTGTTTTGCCTAAGTAGGATTCTAGGTGTCGCGTCCTAAAAAGCTGCTAACCTCCCCTCAGCTTCAAGTTTTAGGCTTGCATGAAAAACCTGCATAGGCCCCTTCTCCCGCACACCTCTCCCCATTCTCATCTCCTGCCTCCAAGCGGAGTCTCACTATGCGTTTTTTGCATCTACGCAGCGCAGAAAATGCATGTTGACGAGAGGTTATCTTTGTGTGTGTGTGTGTGTGTTCGTCTGTATCGACTTTCATCTCGAGACCTACAAAAACTACAGGGCTGGAACTTCGGCAGCTTAATCTACGTACATATACAGCCCCTGTCCTCAAAATGGGCGCCCTTACTTGCGTGGTACCCACGTATGGGCCTGCTAAAGTTTTTTACGGATAAGTCGCTAGCTCGGGAAACAGAGAAGCTAAAAGATTGTAATTTTAAAAAAAATGTTTCTCGTCCGCATAGGTGTTAATGAGCTCAAACCCAGCCCTTGGGTGTGCGTGGTACCCAAGTACGTGCCCGTAGAAGTTCTTTCAGGTAAGTTGTTAGCTCAGGAACTTAAAAAGCTAGAAGAGTGGAATTTTAAGAGGTGTTCCCCGTCCAAGTAGGTATTAATGAGTTCAAACCCAACCCTCGGGTATGCGTGGCACTCACGTACGGGTTCGCCAAAATTTTTTTCAGGCAAGTTGCTAGCTCGGAAGTCCGAGAAGATAGAAGACTGAAATTTTTGAGGATGTTCCACGTCCACGTAGGTCTTAATGAGTTCACGCCCAGTTCACGGATGTATGTGGTTCCTACGTAGGGGTCAATTTTTGCGGGTAAGTTGCTAACTCGGGAGCCAGAAAAGCTAGAAAGCTAAAATTTTAGAGGGATGTTTTCAGACAGCCCTGGTAGCCAGTCTCAGTTATCTTAGCTAGAAGCGTTTGCAGAAAAAACAGGTGCCGTTAGCGACAAAAACCTGCGAGGAACTACTGAAAAAAAACTCATCTTCGCACCGTCAGTCGGTGAGCTGGCCATTTGTTATGCGTTTTTTGCAGCAATGCAATGCGAAAAACGCATATTGACGAGAGGTTGTCTGTG